TGTGGTAAAACGCTGTCTTGGTGGGGCTCGAAACGCTACGCTGAGCGACGCACGTGGTTTGCAACTTGTCTGTGTAAGTATATGTACAAAACAGACCAGCACACACGTAGGATGTTTTTACAAAGAGTGCTTTTTCTTTTTTTTCCCCCCATCTATTTTTGCTACGCCTGGTTTTTATTGTATTTAAATTTGTGATCTTACTGAGAAATAATTTATTGAGTGTACGGATCGTTTTGAGCTTCTGAAAAGCCAGCTCTAGCTGAAGCCCGTTGCAGCGTGGAGGTGGAGTTCAAATCAGGCAGAGGAGTAACAAAAATACCCCATTGTCCTGGTTGGGAACGATCGTAGAGGCAGGGCAATGGGTCCATAAATATAATTCTGTCTTATAAAATAAAGATCTGCATCCATCTGTTCAGTCTGATGATTTATTTTTCAGGCAAGGGCTTCGGGCTTTTGAAATACGTAGGAAATTCACTGCTGTCAAGTGGAGGGAAGGTGCCTGTTTTTATTTAATGGACAGCCATTGCTTTTCATTAGCAACAAGTCACGTTATCAGCTCACAAAGTTTTAATTGTATTTCATCTTTTTCAGGCTTGGTTTTTTTTTTTTCCTCTATAAAATACACAGGTTCATCTTTGCCTTTGTGTATTCTTCAGATCTAATTGATCACTGAATTAATTACAACTGCTAATCTTGCCTTTTAGGAAGCAACCTTTCTCATATCCTACTTCACCTGATTCTTTTTTTAAATGCCTTTGTGTATTCTTCAGATCTAATTGATCGCTGAATTAATTACAACTGCTAATCTTGCCATTTAGGAAGCAACCTTTTTCATATCCTACTTAACCTGATTCTTCTTTTTCTATTTGCTGGCTTATTCAGAAACATTTACCGATATTTAGCAATACAGAAAATTCTCTTACGCAGTATGGGAAGGGGAAAAGTTGTCACCAGGGTGTGTTTTGTAACGTATTAAGTTAAGCTTATATTGTTCTTTATAAAAAACTATTGCTTAAAGGATGAGCGTTGTAGCTCTTCATCCAGCCCTGGTGAGTTTTGCCCTCCGAATGGTATCGAAATGTGTCATTTCTTCTGGATGTACAGAACGCTTCTGAGAGCATTAGAAACTCCCACTGAGGTCAGTAACTCAATCTTTCCCAGTGCTGGTCCAAGATTTGCTTCCTTAAAATCCACAGGAGCAGGACTGAGCCTCTTGGCAGCAATGCATAGAAATGCCTAGAGGAGAAGAAAGGTAACTAAGGGAGCACAGCCTTTTTTAATTCAATATATGTGTTCTTGTGCAACAATGTTGCAGAGGTTTGTATGTTCCTGAAGCGTATGCCCGTGTGCCAACAGTTGACGTGTGAAAGATGATGATTTAAAACCCAAACGTGACTCCTCGCGTAGGCTCTTGGTTATGTTTGTGAGCAGTGATGTTTCACGGTGTTGTGTTTGTTTTCCAAGCCTAAAACGAAGCGACACTTCACATGCAGATTGTTTTTTTTTTTAAGGGGTTTCCTGTGGAAAGATGTGTGTCCTTGTACTGTTTTTATTCCGGCACGCTGTTTTGCAAGAGGGGGTAAAGTAACCCCTCGTCACGCTCCTCTGGTCGTAGCTGTTAAGATAAATGATACACCTTCTAGTTTTTCATTAGCGGCCCTAATTAGTGACTGCTGTAGGAGAGCGGGGATCACCACTGTACAGCTACAACTGTGAATTTTAGTTCAGCTGACTCTGGGCCCAAGGAAATCCAAGTTGACATCTTTCGTTTGCTTTGGATCCTCTGGGCTTTAGAGGTGCGCATTTGAGCACCTCTCTCATGTGGATAAAGATCTACGAGACTCTCAGATCGGACTGTAAGAACAGTACGGTTTGGACTCCTGTCTCAGCTAGAAGTGCTATTCCTGAGGTGAAGAAAACCACTGTTGTTTTTGGCCTCCTTTTAAGATGATGTGTACTGCTATCCTGTTTCATAACAGCCGTGCGTAACAGGCAGGAGCTGGTGTTACATTGAATACTGGAGCAAGGAGAAAATCTAGAGCAGAGCTCTAATTGCACCCACTTGACAGCTGAATTTGAGCGACGTCATTCGGTTGCCGCTTGTGAAGGGACATCTAATTCTGTACGGATCTACCTTGACCTACTCCCGAAATACACGTTACCTTGGCATCGGAAAGCCTGCAGATGTTCTTGGTGAGGAAACAGGCCTCTTGCTTTCTGCCATCGCTCCCAAATCGCAGCACCCGGTGAGGATGAGCGTGGGGAACCCAGTACCTGGTGAACCATGGCTACGGCTCATGGAAAAAGCTCGCTCGCATAAGACATTCGACTTGAGGTGCAGGAACCATTATGGTGTGTTTTTATATTCCCTGCAGATGAAACAGGGGCAGGATCGAACCTGAACTCTCCTACCTTTGACTTATCCACCCTTTAAGTAGTTCCTTTCTAGAGGAAATGAAAATACTTTTAGGACTACATAAACACAGCAAGATGGCCAGTTTGTCAAGGAAAAAAAAAAGTCAATTTATGTTTATTTCGATCTTAAACATATCTTACCTTCCACAAATAAACATAAGCCTCCTGGAGTGCTTGTGAGTGCAGTTTTAGCCCAATCTGTCTGGGGTTGACTTTACCTGGGAGGGGATTATTGCTCAGCTGAAACTAAAATTGTATTTAGATGTGAACCGATTGGGGTTTGATTTATTTCCTCCTTTATAATGTTGTAACTCTATTGAAATACGTGTTCTGGTATTCTATTTTCTTAGTAAAATGCATTCCCTTTGCCTAAATTACATTTGCTTTTCTTTATTCTGAAAAAAAATAACGCTCGACCTATACAGAATTGGTACGCAACTACCTAAATCGCTTTTAAAGAGGTCCTTTAAGGATCTACAGCCATGTTTTAACAGATAAGAAGAGAAAAAAAACAACAACTCCTGAGGGTGCCAGCGGCACAGCACGGCCCCGCCTGCTCTTCCCGCCCTTCCTCCCCGGCCCTCAGCACCGCCCGGGAGAGCGCTGAGGCCGGGCCGCGGAGCGCGGGCTCCGCCCGCCGCTACCCGGGGGAGGTAGGCGGGGAGGGCGGCCACGGGAGGCCGGGGAGCCGGGCCTGGCCTGTGCGTGTTCTGCCTGAACCCCGGCTCGGCGGAGCGGCCTTGTCGTTCCCGCCCCCGGGCCGTTCCCCACAGGCGCTGTCGGGCCGCGGCTCAGGGCGGGTGGAGGCGGCAGGGCAAGGCCTGGCGCGGCCGTGAGGGGTTTGAGGAGGTCGGTCCAACCGGGGACACAAATTGACGGCGTGAGGCCCGGGGCCGGTTCAGCTGAGAGGTTTTTAAGTCTGCTTTTGCAGTGAGGAAAAGGAAACAAAAGATTTCTGTCTTTTGGGGGTGTGATGAACGCTTATCCAGCCCCCCCCCGGTCAGGTAATTACATGGTGTGTTTGGACGGAGCCTGCTAGCACACCAGGGGAAGGACTGCTTTCCTTAGGAAAGCTGTGGCAACTCCTCTAAAAGCAACTAAACCTGAAAAAAATGCTAATTCCTTTGCTTGAAAGGTATCCGAAGCTGTGGAGGCACCTGGAGTTTGAAATGAGGTGGAAAATGCGCCTGCAAATGAGGTAGAAACCGAGTTTGGGAAAAATAAGGCTGGAGAAAGCACACCCGGTGAGGCGAGACAGCGTCAGTTCTGCTCCAAAGGTGGCTTTCCGACAGCCAGGCTCCTCATCCCAACAGGATAAGGGATACAGACTTAAACGAGGTATGGCAGCGTTGCTATAGATCCTCCTGCTGCAATACACATCCCACAATCTGTCACACAGCCTTCAGGCTATAAAAAGCTTTGGTCGTGCTTATTTTTTTCCCTTAACACCTATGAGAAGACAAACACGGTTCGCTTTCAAGGGTGAAGTGAATTGGGTCCCTCCCGCCTCTTGCAGTCTCTGAAGGTGATCAGAGGGGAGTGAATCTTCCCCCTCTGCAAGGCTGGGATGCCCACTCCCAACATCCAGTAACAGCATTTAAACATCAGCAGGGGCTGTTTGGTGTTAGTCATTCCGAAAAGGCTTTTAGAGGGAAGTGCAGAGAGGAAAATTCAAAGTTTAAATGAACAAAAGAACAGTGAGTTTAGAACATTTCCAACATGGTTAAGGCTGGGTTTTTTGCAACCTTCCACTGATATAAGAAGGAAATTTGCTTGTAAATACCGTGTTGTCTGAAAGTCGACACAATCAGTAGTCAATATCCTACACCAGGAAGGTTTTATTGTTATTTTTTGAAGTGAAGAGGAACTTCACTTAGTCGAGTTAGGTCCAGAGAGGTTCTCCTGCCCCTCTACTCTGCCCTGGTGAGACTGCATCTGGAATATTGCGTCCAGTTCTGGGCCCCTCAGTTCAAGAAGGACAGGAACTGCTGGAGAGAGTCCAGCGTAGGGCTACAAAGATGATGGAGGGAGTGGAGCATCTCCCTTCTGAGGAGCGGCTGAGGGAGCTGCGGCTCTTTAGTTTGCAGAAGAGGAGATTGAGAGGAGACCTCATTCATGGTTATAAATATCTAAGGGTGAGTGTCATGAGGATGGAGCCAGGCTCTTCTCGGTGACAAACAATGATAAGATAAGGGGTAACGGACACAAGCTGGAACACAGGAGGTTCCACTTCAATTGGAGAAGAAACTTCTTCTCAGTGAGGGTGCCAGAGCCCTGGCCCAGGCTGCCCAGAGAGGTTGTGGAGTCTCCTTCTCTGCAGACATTCAAAACCCGCCTGGACGCCTTCCTGTGTAACCTCATCTGGGTGTTCCTGCTCCGGCAGGGGGATTGGACTGGATGAGCTTTGGAGGTCCCTTCCAATCCCTGACGGTCTGGGATTCTGGGATTCTGTGAACTTGCGCCTCGCACTAAGGTTCAAAGGATGCCTTCATTTAAAGCAAAACTATTTGCCTCTCTCCCAGCATAACTACATACATTCAGTGGCTCAAAATCTGTCTTTCAGGTGGCGTCCCGGCGGATTTAAGATGTCGATGGATATCACTTTCCTCGGGACAGGCTCGGCGTATCCCTCCCCGACAAGAGGAGCGTCGGCGCTGGTCCTTCGGAGGGAAGGGGAGTGCTGGCTCTTCGACTGCGGCGAGGGAACGCAAACCCAGTTCATGAAGAGCCACCTCCGAGCAGGTTTGTGCTGTTGTGATGAGGGCCAGGGGAGAGGTTTCGTGAGATCTAAACAAAATACTTTGTTCTCGTGCTGGGGGTATTTGAATACTTCCTAAGCATGCATGAGCGTCTGAAGGTGCTGCCTATGGGTGGT